TTTGCTGCACGAAGAAAAAATGAGGCAGCAAAAATGACGGTGTGGGAACGTTGACGGGCAACTTGAAAGACATGGCCAATGTGATATGACCTGCGAAATGGGGGGGAAATGTAAGGTTCGATTGCAAGTGGACTGTGAAAAAGTTTATGAAACAAGCAAAGGGTGGCAATGCGGCGGCGGGAAGATAGAGGGGACAGGCCAATTTCTTCTTTTAAAGATGACACGCTAACGTGATAGGCATATGAGGAATGAATGAATCTAGTAGCACGGGTTTGAAGTGATTCGAGTGCAGTAATGAGATACGCGTGTTGTGGGCTCCAAATTGACGATGCATATTCAAGCTTGCTTCTTACGAGGGACTGATATGCTAATAATTTTACATGGCGGGGTGCGTTGCGCAGATGACGTTTTAGGAAGCCGAGAGTACGATTAGCAGCTGCGATGATAGTCCGGATGTGCTCAGCCCAAGTTAGGTCACTGCACAAAGTTAGGCCAAGGTATTTGTAGGATTGCACAAGTTGAACAGGAGTGTTAGAGATTACGTAGGAAGTGGTGGGCGGGTTATGGCGACGCTGAAACGACACAAGTTTACATTTGTTAGGATAAAGTTCCATTTGCCACCGTTCACACCAACGCTGCACTTGGTTAATGTCACTTCGGAGGCTAATTTTATCAGATGCATTCGTTACTGTGGGAGCTTGCTCTCTGTAGTATACAAGCTATTTACAAAGGTAATTGCTAACAGAGTAAAGAAAACATTAGAATTCAATCAACCAAAGGAACAAGCAAGATTTCGAACAGGCTACTTAACAATTGACCACATTAATACTATCAATCAGGTAATAGAGAAATGCTCAGAGTATAACCAACCACTATACATAGCCTTCATAGATTACGAGAAGGCGTTTGATTCAGTAGAAATATCAGCCGTCATGCAAACACTGCGGAATCAGGGCGTAGCTGAAGTATATATAAACATTCTGGAAGAAATCTACAGGGGTCAACTGCTACCATAGTGCTTCATAAAGAAAGCAACAGAATACCAATCAAGAAGGGTGTAAGGCAGGGGGACACAATTTCCCCAATGCTATTTACCGCGTGCTTACAGGAGGTTTTCAGAAGCCTAGAATGGGAACAGTTAGGGATAAGAGTCAATGGAGAATACCTCAGTAACGTGCGCTTCGCCGATGACATTGCATTGCTGAGTAACTCGGGGGACGAATTGCAACTCATGATTACGGAGTTAGACAAGGAGAGCAGAAAGGTGGGTCTTAAAATTAATCTGCAGAAAACGAAAGTAATGTACAACAACCTCGGCAAGGAGCAGCACTTCGAGATAGGTAATAGTGCGCTTGATGTTGTAAAAGACTATGCCTACTTAGGGCAGGTAATAACCGCAGAGCCGAACCATGAGATTGAAGTAACTAGAAGAATAAGAATGGGGTGGAGCACATTCGACAAGCACTCTCAAATTATGACAGGTAGATTGCCACTATCCCTCAAGAGGAAGGTATATAACAGCTGTATCTTGCCGGTACTTAGCTACGGAGCAGAAACCTGGAGACTTACAAAGAGGGTTCAGCTTAAATTCAGGACGACGCAGCGAGCAATGGAAAGAAAAATGGTAGGTGTAACCTTAAGAGACAAGAAGAAAGCAGAGTGGATTAGGGAACAAACGGGGGTTAAAGATATCATAGCTGAAATCAAGAAGAAGAAATGAACATGGGCCGGGCATGTAGCACGTAGACAGGATAACCGCTGAACACTAAGGGTTGAAGAATAACACTTTCGCCATAATCGGAAAACTTTCGCTGAGCAGTAGACAGTACCTTTAACGATGTAGGAGGGTTCGTTTTGAACTAGGAGTTTGGGTCAAATCTGAGTGCTTGAGGCAATTGCTTGCTTGCACTTCATCCACCAATTGCAACATGGAGTATATAAAAAAAAACTGTGCGGACGTTCTTACAGTCAATTTTCTTGTGAGGCATAAAATAGCGTAGTAATACACAAAGCTGCCGTTTTAACCAATTCCGGCAATTATCTTGTTGCACTTAGGAACCATGTCTGGCAGATACGCGTTCTTTTTGTCATTCCACCGCCTGTCTCTAGAACCTCCTGACCCAAGTGGTTGAAGGTACCAAGGCTGAATTACTTTAGTGCTTGATAACAAATACTTTGTGACAAAAAGTAATTTAAAAATACAAACCCTCTCCTTTCCCCAGTCATCGCACCCGAAGTTCAAGGCGTCACTCAAATGAGGCCTTTTTTTTATCTTTGCTGCCCTCAACTTTAGCCCTCTCAAGGTTAACATTGTAATAATCGCGTCCAATAAACCCAGGATAACCAGAATATCACGGATCGGATCGGTACTGTTCTTACGCTGGTGTTTTTTCTTTTCCACTCCTATTAACATTAATATTGCGATCTTGAAACCCACAGACCCCGATCTGGGACTTGCCAGTTAGCAGCTGTCAAATGCAAATTAGAAGACATATGACACCTGAAAACTGAATACAACTTTATTGAAGACCCTTAAGTAGCGCTGTTCTACATACTGGGAAAAATGAAACCATGAGTACCTCAAAAAATAACTCAATTTCTCACCACAATGATGAACGAGGTCACATTTGCCGGTAAACGCTATTATTAAAACCACTGTGCCCCAGAAATGTGCGAATGTAGCACCATATTGTTGAGCTTAAGTGGAGTAATGGAGTGGAGCTTAAGTGGAGCTTAAATGGAGTTAAGTGGACTCTCCCCGCAAAATGTTGAAGGTGAAAAATTGGCCCCGCATCGGCATGTTTCACTGCAAATGTCATCAAAAGACGAAACTTTTGCGTGTGGGGAGAGTGAACAAAAATTTATTTGATTTCTGTGCGAGAAAATCTGTAAATTGTATTCTGGAAGTGCTGCATTGGAGAGTCTCGGTCCGCGCAGCGAAGGCGAACGAGTGCATCGAGGCACGTTAGACACGAGCGCCATCTGAGAGTTATCGTCGAAAACGAAGAAAGGCGTGCGCGCCCAAGGAGAAAGATGCGCGCCTGTCTCGGAGGCGATCAGGTGCAGAACGCAAAGCGACGGGCAAGTGCCACCACCATGTCGTCCTAGGAAAGCGTTGGAAACACTCGCCTTTTTGAGCATCGCGTTATACTGTGGCCGCAGCGTGATAAACGCTACGGTCCTTAGAATAACTTATGTGTGCCTTCTCTGGTGTATAAACAGCACATACAAAATATCTACGTGTTGTTATTGTGTCTCAGATATGCACAATGATTCATTTTATAGATGATAGTTTTCTTGGGGACCTTCGACAGAAAAATTTTGGTGTGTCGGTCTGTCTGTCTGTACATTTGTCTGTGTGACACCTAACGATACCTCAAACGGCACCAAACGGCACCACATCAGGAGCGCCCACCAATATTGCTCAAGGTTTAGTGTTCAAAGTTGTGCGATTGTCAATTAAAAAGCAAATATTGCGCATATCTGAGGCACCATAACAACATGTGTATGTTTTGTATGTCTGCCTTTATACTTTAAGAGCCACACACAAGTAACTCAAAGGACTGTAGCGTTTAACGCACTGCGCTAACAGTGCAACGCGATGCTCAAGAAGGTGTTTCCAACGCTTTGCTACAACGGCACGGTGGTGGCACCTGCCCATCGCTTTGCATTCTACACTTTATCACCTCCGTGACTGGCGCGCATCTTTCTACGCAGTCGCACTCGCCTTCGTTTTCGAAGATAACTGCCAGATGGCGCTCGTGTATAACATGCCTAGATGCGCTTGTTCGCGTTCGTTACACACTCGAGGCACTCTAACGCAGCGCCTTCAGAATGCCATTCACTAATTTTTTTTTGCATAGAACATCAAATGAACGTTTTGTTCACTCTCTTCAAACGCAATTTAATTGACAATTGCACACGCATGAACGCTGAAATTCGAGCAATATTGATGGGTGCTGCAGATGGGGTTGGCTGTTTATGGTATCGTTTGGTGCCTTTTGGGGTATGGTTACCACGGAAAAACAGACAAATTCACAAACAGACAGACAGACAGACAGACAGACAGGCAGACAGACAGACAGACAGACAGACAGGGAGTTAAATTTTGGCGTCGAAGGTCCCCAAGAACGACTATCGTCTTTGAAAAAAGTCACAGCTTTGCCGCAAAGGCGAAGCAATGAACGCGACAGCAACAATTTGAAAGATCACGCGCAGAATGGAAAGCAGATCGATTGTGCCTTGCGTTTCTCGCGCACAAAATATGCTCGGAACGTACTCGCAGGTATGGATGCACGCAAATATGTGTCTCATTTGTTACTTCACTGAATCTGAAAAGCACGCGCTTTGCTCGAACGGAGCCTGCAATGATTGGAGTGACTTTTGTGCGCCCGTTAACTACAGAAGAATAGTTCCACGTAAAGCCCGATGCCAGCAAAGGCGTACGATCCTCCCCACCTCGCCACCGTGAGAAAAGGGCGTGCGAGGGAGCGTTCCCCTTCTCTAAGCCGGGCAAAGTACACGTAGGAGATTAGAGCTGGCGCCGCTGTGAGATGTGGTGACGTGCGCTCATTGCGCCATCTTTCTGACAATGCCGAAAACACAGCAGCGGTAAATGGTAGATATAAATAGCTTGCCGTTTGAACGGTGAAGTACGTTCTCCGGAGTGGCTCAGTGGTTGACGCCTCGCTGTCACGACGGGAAGGTTCCCCGTTCGATTCCGCGCGCGGATAGCTTTTTTCCTGTTTTTTTCTTTCTTGTGTTTATATATATATAAATACGTATACATATACGATGCATGACATCGACGCCGACGCCGGCGGCAAAATTCAGCCAAAAGTGTCCATATAAGTGCTATCGCAATAATATTCGCTTCAGAACTAGTTGAGTCTGCCCGAACAAATGGGGTGACAAGGACTGAAGAGGTTGCCTTCTTTTACATTACTGCAAGAGCGCGAAATAACCCTCAGTTGCATCATAATGTTTTGTCCACTTCTCACCTTTGCATCAATTCCACCGACAGCGTGCTGGTACATGCCGGGCATACCGTACGTTCCTTGCGGGTCGAAGAGGTCGTATCTCGCCGCGACGGCATAAGTTGGGTTGTACGGTGGCGTGCAGTTGCAGACTGAGAGTGGGTCATTCTTGTAGTCATTGTACCTGCACATGATATATGGGGGAAGGTGGCAATGAAGAGTGGGCGTTCTATTCTTCGTAATAATATTCTGCAGAGTTCATAGCGAAAAAAAAAGAAATCAATTCACATCAGTAAGCTCTTGATAAATTTAGTTCCGAGTAGATAAAACTGAACGCATTATCGCTCAGTCGAACGAAGCTGACCATTGAGACAAGCGACCTACGGGTGGCGAAGTAGAATCTGCGAAACGCTTTTTTCACAATATGGAGCTGTGCCCATGCCTCTGAAACGCAATGGTTTAGGTGGTACGCATACAGCGCATCCAAGCACAAAGATCACAAGGACACAGATACGGTTCTGTGGTACTGAAAGCCATGACGCATGACCTATCAAGCACAGACCGCGTATGATTGTTCTTCAAGCACTAGTAAACTATTTATTATTAAGGGATTCATTATTGCCTTTCAAGCCCAAGGCACGGGAGGTGGACTATTAGGGGTAACACCAATAATCTTAAATGCTCCTTACTTCAGACTGTGTGCGTCTTTACGGCAAGAGCCTTTTATTACTCCTTATCCAAGAAGCTACTTGAAGGAACCACCGTATCGTAAAGCTTTCTTCAATATTCCTTTGCAAAGGGTAAAGCGCAAGGGTTCTTGATAAAGACTTGCTTTCAAATAGGAACAGATGATATATTTTAGCTTTTCAAAATAACGTTCACAATGTTTTTTCAAAGTATACGTAGACGTACAGCTTGTAGAGCTTGTACAGCTATATCTGTTTATTCAAAATCATTTCTTGTTTGGACGGCATAACGAAGGAGCTCAGTGCTTTCATTGGTGTATTTGTGCTTGCAGTTACGGGGGAGGGAGTAATAAAATATTTTAAAGCACTGAAGACTTAGGTGAGATTGATTTAAAAAGTCAAGCAGTGTTAAGATTAATTTCTCAATTAGGTGGAATTGCGTACCAGTCCTTTGTTATGTTTCCATTCAAAACAAAGGCATGTCTATCAGATCAAGCCCTTGTAGTGTGAATTGTTTCTACAAAAACAAGACAGCCCTAAAGCAGATGTTTTTAGGAATATAGTTTCTGAGAGTCTTCACTTATTTAGATGATTTCTTAGCAGTCTCAAAATGTTGTGCCTCAGGGTTGCATTCTAACTGATGGTCCCAGTATTTGGAAAACTTCAATTCTCAATGGACTTAGTAAACTTGCCAATGGGGCTATTTCCAGGCTTCCTTTTCCAACGCTATCAAGCAGTCCTGCTGCCACCAAGGCAGCGGTAGCTTTTGCGCTCAGTTCAAGCTACTGCAGCATGATGCATTACTCATTGTAGCGGCTATTATGAATCAGCAGAAAAGGAAGGCGGTACAACAGAGAGCTAACATCAACTGAAACCGCGTGGTGCAAAGGAACCAGAGGGTCATTATGATACCATGTAAGGAGTAAGCTGCCCATTGACCTAAATATGACTGCGGGTTGGGGTAAGTCATTTTTTGTCTTACCAACACAATATTCGTTTTTATTTGCTGTTTTTGTAAGGTAGAGAGTTTCTACATTAAAACGGGCACCACTGGGATATGTGAACCACCGCAAGGGATTCGTGACATGCACGTAGGGTTTGTTGTACAGAATCCCCTTGAGCTGTGGTGCTGACAAACGTCGCAATTTTGAATTCGAAAACTTGCAACGTTAAAAAGAGAAAGAAGGATTTCCTGGGCTTACATTGTAGCGCGTGTGGCTGCCCCTGTGGATTCGCTCGAACGTGATTTCCTCCTACTTGGACGGACACACTCAGGTCATTGTGGAAGCAACATTGACGGCATGTGAGGAGGGCGAGGAACTATCATTAGCGTTATATCAAGATAATTGAAAACAGTAGCGCAAATAGCGCACGGACGGCGGCAGATCGAGACAGGACGTAGTGACGAGCAACGTGTGTGCAGCAAAAATCATCACGAGCGTTTGTGTGTTTTCCCGAAGAAGTTGCCTATTCTATGCCGCTTTCATAAGCTCATGAGTATGTGGGTCAGACAGACAGCTTCATGAATGACCGCTTGCGCGAGCAGACGTGCAGTGTCGAACAACTCGTCATATTTTGCCGCCACTCCGCACATTGTGCACACAGTGGCTGCAAGCCTTTGTTCAACCATGCTCATTAGCTGGCCAAAAGTTCTGACCAGCTCACAGGGAGAATGATTGAAGCGACAGAGATGAAATTTAGAGCCCCGTAGGGCTCCTCTCTAACCTGTTAACCAGAAAAAGAAAATCAATTTTTGTCGCGTCACCTATGTTCTTTATTTCTCGGGTAGGTTGCTTTGTGCACTCTTTCTGTGTTGTGTGTCATGTGTATTATATGTTAGAAGACCCAGAGTCAGGCCAGTTAGTGGTACATAATGTAAGCTTTTTGCGCGCTACAATAAATAAATATCGACGAAGAAAGAACAGTATGGGAGAACACAAGTGCGAAATGATAAGTGTTAATTGTTACAGAAACATGACACAGCAAATACGCGCAAAAAAAGGGGGCTGAGAAAAAACGGAACGAACAGAAACGAACACTCACAAATACGCGAGAACTACATCAAAGGAGAGCTATCCTTAATCTGGTGCCCACGGTCTCGAGGTCTGCTGCTTCTTTACTTGAAAGACTAACAGTTCCGATTCTTTACGTCTAGTGAAGGGGCGCTAACACAGCTGTCAACACCAGCACGGTGCATTGCGAAGACTTCGAAGATTGCTTTCTTTTAATTATGTCATTGTGAAACAATTGTGGTGCTATCGAACTGCGGAAGACATTGACACATGTTGCAATGGTTAGCTATGTTTTCGGGGTGAGTGATCTGCTGGCAATTATAGTTGCGCTCGCGCTGACGAGTATCGGTGCACTTTCCGGTTTGACCGGGATGATGAATACATTTTACCTTCATTGACGACATCCAAAAAAGGAGCATTGTGTACGCATGTATGCTTAGAAGTTTCCACAAATCAACGGCACATGTCCTCGCAAAAATACAATGAACCAATTTACCAGATTAGGAAAAAAGTATTTCCCGGTTGTGTCTTCATGGCAACTTTGGCTGAGAAGCTGTTAAAAAGATTGTGGACTATTTTATTTATGTTATTTGTACACACTGCAGGCCCTAACCGGGCCCATGCAGGAGTGGATACATAGAGGTAACGGGAGGCATAATAACGCTCTACAAAAAGAAAAGAAAGAAAGTATTGATACACATAGGATAATTCATGATTCACATGTATAACATTTTTAGAAAAATCAATCTCTTCTAGACAGTTGACAAAAGATTCCAGCCTAGAACAATGCACAGCATTCACTGGCCGGAATGTCATTCCAAAAACTAATGGCCATTGGGAATGAAGAATACTTATGTGTATTGACACGGCTAGCAGGTTGAAAGATGACCATATTAAGGTTTGTCCTGAGTGAGTGTTTAAATGGGTCCTGTAAGTACAGATTGCGTGGTATCTTAAAATGACCGTGATAGAGTAAGTATAGGAGCTTTAACCTAGAAATGATTCTTCGTTTGGGAAGTGGCTGAAGATTCGCTATATTATATAGGTCAGTGACGCTTGAAGGCCACGAAACATTAGAGTAGATGAACCGTGCAGCTAATTTCAAAATGCCTTCGATTTGGTCTATTAGGTGTTGTTGGTGGGGACTCCATATTATGTCGGCATATTCTAAGGCAAGGCGAATAAGAGTCTTGTATGAATTTAGTTTGACTTGGGCCGAAGCATTTCGCAACCTTCTTCTAAGAAAGAATAGCTTCCCTAGTGCTTTTTTGCAGACAATGTCGATATGAGGTTCCCAACTTAAGTTTGCTGAAAGCGTGACACCAATGTATTTCACCTGATCACTTTTAGGGAGTTCAATATTTTCTAAAGTGTACGAAAAAATAAGCAGATTCTTTTAATAGTGAATGTGAGACATTTGGTTTTAGATGCGTTCAGTCTTATGCCCCATTTCTGCACCAAGCGCAAATATTTTTTAGAGAGTTATTCAAGCCGATTTGGTCCTCTGAATGTCTTAGAACTGTATACACGACACAATAATCTGCGAAAAGCCGCATCTGGATTGGTGACTGGATACAAAATTGGATATCATTGATATCAATAATAAATAGTAGAGGCGCGGTAACCCTGCGGTACTCCCGATTACACATGTAGGCTATCGAACATATCCGTGCTTACGGCTACACGTTGTGTTTTGTTCATTAAGAAGCTGGAAATCCACGAGATTAAGGTGTCATGAATACCAAAAGCATGTAGTTTTGTGATTAAATCTTCATGTGGTACCACGTCAAACGCCTTTGAAAAGTCTAATAATATGGCATCAACCTGACTGTTGGTATTAACTGCGTTGGAGAGGTCATTAGTTATTTCGGCCAGCTGTGTTAGTGTTGACAACCCAGATCTAAACCATGTTGTTGATTTTAAATAAGGTTTTTCCTTTCTAGATTACTGATAATAGATTTAAAAATTATGTGTTCAGTCACCTTACAACACGTGGTTGGTAATGATACAGGTCTATAGTTGCTTGGTTCAAATTTAGAGCCAGATTTTAGTACTGGAAATATTTTTGCCCTGCGCCAGTCATCAAGAATACTCGAGGTATCCAAAGACACTTTAAATATTGTAAGTAAATATTTTGAAATACAGGCAGCATATCGCTTCAAGAATTATTAGAGATAGAGTCGGGACCAGTGGACTTCCTTAGGTCAAGGTTATTTAATAAATGTAATATTCCTTCTTCACTTTAAATTTTTTTCTATAAGCTGCTGAAACAGATAGGCCGCCAGTGGCTGTTGTGAAGCAGTGTGTGTGAAAACTGACTGGAAATAGTTGTTGAGCTGATTCGCAATGTCTTTAGTTCAGTCAGTGTTCAATCCCCACTTTTGATTTGAGCAATGGTTGGTCTATCGCCCCGCCGCGATGGTCTAGTGGCTAAGGTACTCGGCTGCTGACCCGCAGGTCGCGGGTTCAAATCCCGGCTGCGGCGGCTGCATTTCCGATGGAGGCGGAAATGTTGTAGGCCCGTGTGCTCAGATTTGGGTGCACGTTAAAGAACCCCAGGAGGTCGAAATTTCCGGAGCCCTCCACTACGACGTCTCTCATAATCATATGGTGGTTTTGGGACGTTAAACCCCACATATCAATCAATCAATGGCTGGTCTATCTTCTGTCAAGTAGCGCCAAAACTTTTGAGGGCCATACTTCATAAAACTTGTTACACCGTAAAATCGTGATTTCGTTTCACGTACTTTATCACGCAGAGTGCCAACGATACCAACGATTTCGTTTTTATCTCCCTTTGTGCGACGTCGCTGTTTCAGTTTTTGTTTCAGCTGAATTATGTCTCGTGTTAGCCATAGGTAATCTTTGTGGACTATAGTGATAAGATAAAGGATGAGAAAAAAAGTTAAACAGGCCTTTGTGTTGCCATATAGTCATAACGTGGCGGCGGCTGCATTTCCGATTAAGGACCGTGTGCTCAGATTTGGGTGCACGTTAAAGAACCCCAGGTGGCCGAACATTTCTGTAGCCCTCCACTGCGGCGTCTCTGATAATCATATGGTGGTTTTGAGACGTTCAACCTCACAAATATAGCATCATTAATCATAACGTGTTCCATAAAATAAAGAAAATGGCGAAAAGGTTCGTCCTTGCCGTAGTTTCACGGCTTCTAACAGGCTTATTTCACTATATTAGAACGTCAACAATCACTAACGGCGGCCTGGCAATTTGCGCTGTGTGAAACATTCGGAAAACGTTATTGCATGCGAAAAAAGAACGTCTTCATTGTGTACCAATTTCTTGTGGAATAAAGTATACTGGACAAACCGGAAGGTGCATCTACACTCGACTGCGCGAGCCCAGCGTAACTGCAAACAGATTATTCACCCTTAAAACATAGCTATACTCACTGCAAAAGGTGTCAATTACATTCGAAGTTTCATAGTGCCAGGGTTGTTTCACAATGCGATAATTCAAAAGAAAGAGCAATGATCTAACCATTCGCAATGCACCGTGCTAGCATCGACAGCTATGTTTGCGCTCCTTCGCTATCGCTACAGAAGCGGAAGTGTCATTCGTTCGGGGCAGGAAGACAACAGACCTCCAGATACGTGAGCGCCTGATCGTGATAGCTTTCTCTTGATGTAGTTCTTGCGCATGTGTCGCTGTTTTTTTCTGATCAGTCTTTTTTCACCCGCTTTCTTTGCGTGCAAATGTTGCGTCATAACTATGTAAAAAGAAAAAAAAACTTGTCAGTTTGCACTTGTGTCTTCCCGTATAGTTTTTTCATCGTAGAATTAATTTCATTGTAGCAGACAAAAGCTTTCACCACATATATATTTGCAATTACGTAAGATGAACTACTGCTTATGATATCTCCCGCACATCTTGAGTAAGATATCATTTCTTTGAAAAGCAAGTGCCGATTCTGAACTCGAAAGTTGCGGCTGATACCGCACGCAAAAGTTAATTTTCGAGAAGCACACGACAGTGAATTTAAGAGGCCTGCGTGGAAGCATAGCCCCGACACCAACGAGGCGAAAATGAACCAGCCATGTGAGAGTCGAAGTGAAACTGAAAATTGCTAGCGAAATCGACACACGCTCATTCTACCGTTAGTTGTGGCACACATAGCGCGTCCAACACTTAGCGGCAATTGTGTGTATCGAAGCAGGTAAAAGCGACACGTCAGAATGTTCGTTGACATCGCTGTCAATGTCATTAGTGAAATTGCCTCGCAATGTATACTGTTCGGCCTTCTCGGTGAGCAACTGCCACTGCTTTTACTTATATGTCAGTGCCATTATTTTGTGCTCACAGAAAGTCTTAGCAGATGTATTGTCTTTTTAAAATATTTCCTTAATTATAGATTCTTTTGCAGTTCACTGAACTGGCACTTATGTGCAGGCTCACAAATCAAAACATCAATGATGATATATGAGTCTTAACGCCTCAAAACCACCATATGATTATGAGAGAGAGCGCAGTAGAGGGCTCCAAAAATTTCGACCACATGGGGTTCTTTAACGTGCACCCAAATCTGAGCGCGCAGGCCTACAGCATTTTTGTCTCCAGCAAAAATGCAGCTGCTGAAACGGAGATTTGATTCCGCGACTTCCGGGCCAGCAGCTCGATCATATCAACTAGACCACCGCGTCGGGGTAATCAAAAGATCATGACTTCAATGTTGCTGATAAAGAAAAAGCGGCCAACAGGGGTTTCCGAAGCACACATGTGGTTGCATATAGCTGCAAAGACAAGAAAGAAAATGCACTGTTCTTGTGCCGCAAACATCGGCTGTCCACAATGACACGAAAGAACTTGAAGCCGCTGTGAATGAAATAAGGTATTGGAGGAAAGTACAGCTGCAAATTAGGGTCAAAACAGTGTGTAAAGAGTCTGAATGTAATTTTTATAGCGCATCAGTATTTGGCGAGTACTCCGGAAAGGTTCCATCCCATGAAAGATAAGCATTAGCCAGCGAGAAGCGCGCGTGCAAATTGGTCTCAGTGTTCGGTTTCTGCTGCTTACCGAACATCGCTGAACTGACGTGGTACTGACAGTTGGCATCGCGCAAGTGCCTGTTGCCCGCACAACTCGCAGCCGATGGCTGGTGGGCGTTTCTCAGATTCACAACTCCCGCTTCACACTATTTTATGTCGCACGGAAACCGGTGCAGGCTGACACCGAGCTCTGCGGCGCAGGTCCGGCATGCACTGCGGCACGGAACAGCTGCCGTCGAGCAGTGGAGAACCATCGTCATCACCTTTGGGGACAGCCACTTCTATTACAAGGGCCTCAATTGCGCTCAAGGCGTGAAAAAGCAATAAAACATTTCTATTTTGAACAAACCGCAGCGCAGGTGCAACTTGAAACTTCTGTTTCCAAAGCAGGCGGGGGCGCTCCACAAGAAGCCGATGCGGCCGCTGAGACCGCGTGATTCCGCCAAGCACGTCCCGCCGGCGTGTGTGCATTACGTAGATGACTCAATATTCTGTGCGTACGTATATGAGTGCGTGATTGCATTTATTATCATCGCAGGATTTAATTCTGCTGCCTAATATCAATTCAATCACATGATAACACAAAATCCTGCGATCGGAGTATTTTATTTGAGCTTGACGTACAGGCCACTGATGCTAGTACAGTTTCTAACTTAGCAGTGCTACTACCCTTTAAGTAGCAGTGCAAGGTCCCTTACTTCGAAGTAGCTAACTTGAATATTTTGACCAGCACTTATGGCTTCAAAGGAAGTACAACTACATTATTTTTAAAGCCTAGAAGAGCGCGACGGTGCAGTGTGCTTGTTTCTGTATTTCATGTGTTTCTCTATTTCGTGAGCATCCATATGCACATTTTATAATTTATGGAGAGGCGATAAAGCTCCTCACGTGAAGCTCCCTCCCCGTTATTTTTTCTTCTATTGTGTGTAGCAGTTCGCGAATAATTGTTCGCGCTAGACAAAAGATGAGGGCGTAATAACAATTTGAGCGTCATGGTGCTATGCGCTGCGCATGTGGGGAGCAGCTGTAAACATCCAGAATGCAATGCAGGCAAGCGTGCTGGAAGAAACAACTGCCCATATGATGTTAGCACAAAAACCCGTTCCGTGGATGCCTCAGCTAAGCGAGACACGTCCTTGATTGATCGGTGCATGCGCAGGGGATGTGACGCACCTGGTGAGCTGAAGGTCATGAGCGATTGCGTAAGCTCTCAGAGGCTCCACTACAACACACACGGTGATGACGCTTGACGGATGCCCCGCCGCGGTGGTCTGTAGTGGCTAAGGTAATTGGCTGCTGACCCGCATGTCGCGGGATGAAGCCCCGGTGGCAGTGGTTGCATTTTCGATGTAGGCGAAAATGTTGTAGGCCCGTGTTCTCAAATTTGGGGTGCACGTTAAAGAACCCCAGGTGGTTGAAATTTCCGGAGTCCTCCACTACGGCGTCTCTCATAATCATATGGTGCTTTTTGGACGTTAATCCACACATATCAATCATTCAACGCTCGACGGATGAGCCGTTTGATGAATGAGCTTCTCGATAAATGGCCATATGAACGCACGTGCTGGCAGGGTCCCGTAGATATATCATGAAGTGATTATAAGATTCACGATAACAAGAGCCAGTTGTTTTAGTGTGAGGAACTGAACAAAGAGTTTTTATACATATTAGAAAAGTTTAAAACACAAAGGTTCCTTGGTTAAGTGTTTTAATCATGACGTGTCTTGATCTAAAGGCTTACTTCGTATGTATGGCTTATTTATGAATCAGTTCACTAAGCAGCTGAACGAGCAGCTTTTGGGTGGATGATGACACCTACCTCATCAGTTTTAACATAGAGTCCATGTTGTTGACCTTGACATGGTCTCTTCTGAAGATCTTCGCTCGTGGGCAGTTCTCGAATGTATAAAAGTCACCGTACTGCTCTACCCTGGGAAGCTGATCACTGATGGCGAAGACATCGGGGAAGTAGCTGAAATATAGTTGAATGTTTATCACCAAATCATAGTGGTAGCACCTAAATATACAGGCTTCAGGCTGCTGCAGTGAAGGCCACCCATGAGTTTATGACTTTTTTGAAATATTTTAAGCGTCCGAGTTGGATGTAGCATAAAGTATCGCGCCTAGAGAACAACACCAAAAGCTCACTTTGCTTAAACGCTGTCACACGAGTAGTCTAACCGCAGCTGAGTACCAGAACCACTAAATCTAATGCCTATTGAAGCAAGTCAAACGACCACCCTAACCGAAGTTAATCCGCTAACAACTGGTTTCGCAAACGGAAGTGGGCAAACTCTGTAAACGGACATCATGGCGGCCCCCATGTAGGAAGCGAGCTGCTCAGTTCCCAGCACAATTTCCGGTCAAAAGATAGTCAAGTGGACAGCCGCGATGAAGGAAGTGTTGATATGCAACTGGGAAGATAAATTACATGTATAAGCACTGACATGGAACACTTTCCATTTAAGTATTAGGCCCCCGCCGGCACGACGTGGCAGCTACAGAGACGGGTAGACCTACGCTTCTCAGTAGCTTCGGCGTCATTCAGAACGCGTAGCATCGCGTTAGAAATGAATCGTTTCGCACTGAACGGCGCAGTTCTTGAACTTGTACCATCAATTGCTACTCATGGCACTATGCATTTTCAACGTCAGCATGGATAAAACTTAAAAATGCGTTTGTTACACGCGTACAAGTTCGTACGTGCTGCGAACGTAGCACATACACACTTGTATTGAACGCAGCACGTACAAGTTTGTACGTGCTGCGAACGTGCGACAGCGCTTCTGCTTGGTTTAAGGTAACTGTGGCTACGCCCACTAACTACAGTTAGGTATAACCGTGGTTAAACATACCCGTGTGACAAAGGTATGAACGCTTTGCTTTGCGCGATATTGAAGAGTGTATTTAAAGTATCTGCTTCGTGTACAAAAAACATTGGAAACTTTACTTACGCGATATTGTAGCTTGCCCAGTATCTCTGGTCACGAAGTTGCTGGCTAATGTCTTCGGATCTTGTGTACATCCTGCGTAGGTAGATAAGTCACAGTTTCATCAGTTCCAAATTACCTTCATGGCATATAACTTGTGGTACTATAGCCAATGTTCAAGTTGTTTGTGAAGATGTGCAATATGTCATGGCCATCGACTTTCGCTATGGTTGCATGGCATCACAGATAAAAACTTTGCATCGAAGATTCTGTGAAGGTAAAATAGTGGGGCTTCTGTTTCCACCAGATGTTTCAGTGAATACTTTTTTATATAGCAACGCATATGCGCATGTCTAAAGTCTATGAGATAGAAACATTCATTGACGAACTAATATTTAATTCTGTATGTGTTAGCTTCTGTAGTCGCGTCATGACACTATCACAATTCTAAAGATTCGCATCAAGCTACAGTAAATGCTTGATCAACAATGAAAAAACAACTGCACTTCAACAAGACCGACCACTGATTCATATAAGGCTCAGCCTTTTTTTCTTTATGGTTATGAATAGTTCATCAATATTGTTGTTCTTGCTTCAAAATTCACCAGAAGAGACCTATGACCTTTCTGTCTTGTTGCATTAGCTATCTTAACACTGATTTACGTTGATTTCTGATCATGAAGACGTAGTTAAATCACGACCGACTAAATTAACATTGAAGGTTGATAGTTATTGCACGTCGCTGTGACGCAGCACCTGATGTGTATTTGCTCGAGTGCGATGACATGCTCGAATACGGCTAGCTGAGAAGCCTTCTTGTGGCTTCAAGAAATCGATGGTTATGAGCGATGATAAATTCACAGATCTATCTCGTGCGAGCTCGTACAACGTTAAAGTTGAAATTTTGATTGATATGTGAAATTTAACGTTCCAGAATCACCATATGATTATGAGAAAACGCCATTTCAAATTTTCGTTCAGGTACATGCTTGTAGAACCATATGTCAACAGTGATTTGGGCCTGTTCAGCCTGTACAATGCCAAATGGGAAAGGAATGTGCATACCGCATACGCACCGATGGAAACTTAATTGCCCAGCAACACAAGGCCCGTAATTTCAACATGATCACATGGTCTAACGTCTACCACGCTCGAGTTCCGTTTTGGAAGAAAATGGGAGCTACTTGGAATGAAATCGCTTAGCATAGGCACTCTCGTTATCACACTCTCTTCCTTCTTTTTGTAAGTTTGCGTCATGTTTTCCTCGTAATGACGTGTAATGACAATCAAAAATATGTTGTTGAGATGGTCAAGTTATCTCACTCGTTTAATTTTTTGACGAACAGTTTTTTTTGGCAGAGATTTTGCTTCGATCTCATGAAGTTCACTGAAATGTCGAAACACTCCCTCAGACACTTCAATGAACTTTTACAGCTCATGTTGGAGGAACGTACGGAAGTTGCTCATAAAGCCACAGCGTGTTGTCCACGATAGGAGTGCCGGGTGTGAAAAGCTTGTAATCCAGTACGAGAACCTGATTGTTGCACCTGCAAAAGACATCGGCAATAGAAAGATGCAACTTAGCGGCATGCAGTATAGTTGCGCATTCGGAGTATTTTTAAGATTTATTCAAATAAGTCTGGGCGGAAAGCAGTTCAGAAGCTATTACCGGCGGCATGAGTATTGGGAGTTATGATTGATTGATTGATTGAATAATTGATATGTGCGGTTTAACGTCCTAAAACCACCATGAATATGAGAGACGATGTAGTGGAGGACTCCGGAAGTTTTGACCACCTGGGTTTCTTTAACGTGCATCCAAATCTGAGCACACGGGCCTACAACATTTCCGCCTCCATCAGAAATGCAGCTTCCGCTTCCAGGATTCGAATCCGCGACCTGCGGGTCAGTAGCCGAGTACCTTAGCCACTAGACTACCATTGCGGGGCAACCAGGAGTTATGGGAGAGAAAAAAACACTTAAAGTGAACAACCAAGCTTGATTCAATGTCGAAGCAATCACATTGTTTTAAAAATGATATTTATTTCCCCCAACAATTTCATGTAGGTTTATTAAGAAAGAATAGGTGAGGGTTCTTTGTTATTGCTAGAAATATGTTCTCTAGCGCCTTCTGCCCACTCTTTTATTATTCAGTGCAGTTCTTGCACTGAATAAAAAGGCAAGCTTTTAAAGTTCGTCGGATAAATGTTATAGGCCCATGTGCTTTAATTTTGGTGCACATTAAAGAACCCCAGGTGGTCAACATTTCCGGAGCCCTCCACTACGGCGTCTCTCATAATCATATGGTGGTTTTGGGACGTTAAAACCCACATATCAATCAATCAAAATTCGTCGGTGATGACACACCTCTTCACGCATTTTAGTGTTTCGCAATTTTCGCGTTCTTTGCTGTGCGCGAGATTGTGAGGTGCGTTTTATCGTTGGCGAACGTCTTGAGTGCAGTGTCGAACGGGCACCAGAACTATGCGGATTACATTTAATGGCGAGTGCTTTTGTCAGTACCTGCAGAAATTATGTGCTCTGCAAGGATGCAGTAGCAACAAAAATATGCTTTGTGATCCAAGTCTGCTAGATAATAAGAAAGAAGGGGGACTAAGGAGTCAGAATATGGCGCTCACTGAAATTTTATGCCTCAGTATTCTTGCAGCCTGCAGTCCTTATTGAACGTGTAGTGCCTACTAATATTCACGTTATCGGTGAACAAATCGCTAAGTTATAACGCTACGATTTGCATATATGCATTCGCATACGTAGCGGTAATTTATCGCAGTTTAAATCGAAAAAAACATGACGTGAGTAGTGTCCGCAGAATTTTTTGTGCTTATAACAATTGTGTGCAATGTAATAAAGTTGATTTATTGCAACCATTGTATAAAACCTAAAAGCAATAATTTTGTTGTAAAAAGGCGTCATTTTTGCCTGATAAAACTGAAAAAGATAAGCATTGTGGATTCCAAGAACCTGCGCATGTGTGGAGGCAAAAAAGCAACGCCGGAGATGTGACAGGTGTACGCTGTTTTTGCTTTATTCCACCAGGCATAGATTCGAGAAAAGCTGGTTAAAAGTTCGAAGAATGATTTTCCTTGTCAAACCGAGGCGAAGTACACGGTAGTACTCTTAAACACTACTGTCTACTCAATAGTCATTAGATTATAGATTAGCTGGCGTTCACTTCAAGTGCACTCGTGGATGACTCGCCGACGACTGTCTTGGCGCATGTTCTTAGCGATCAGAAGCCTATGAAAAGTAACTTGCGATCGAATTTTGCGCTAGTGTACACAAAATGACGTCACTTTTTCACTAACTATCGCGTCACATCTGCTTTATTTTTTGTTCCACCGGAAGTGTTCCCTCATCAAAGAAATGGTGCTAAGCCCTATGAGCAGCTGATGAGCTGTCATTTTCGTACCGTATGTGTTTCTATGCAGCCTTCACTAGCAGTTGTATCTACTTTATATTTGCGTTAAGAGCACTCTCAATGACATTCTCTTAGCTGTGGTGTTGGTAAAATCCTTCCCTCACAACTAGCGCATGTGCAAGAGAGCCTAGAGTGCATTTAATGAATAGTAAAATAAACATTGCGAAGAAGTGCTCCTAGGTGACTCACATTGCACCTTCTGCTGTTTCAGTTTTTGTACGTAATTTCTGCCTCTGAAGCGGGGAAATGCAGGGCGAAAGGAAATGGCGGAAATCAGCATATTGAGAAGAAGCTTGCCAATGAAATAGGGCTTGTTTGTTCCAACACTATGCAGTCAACCAATACCTTGGTAAGAAAATTTTATATGACAAGGAGACTGTCACGGGGAAGATTTTGTGTGCTCACTAGGTGTACTGAACCATGCTATAGTAATAAAATGAAAAATAAACGAGGAACAAGTTACCAGTTACGAGACGCGCCGAAATCAATACATACCCTTCGCGTGCAAATCGGCCGCTTCCTTAATATCCAATCTTAATAACTTATTGGTACAATACAAGCGAATGTGTTCACTCCACACTTGAGAATGTTGAAGTTGCGCAAATACAATACAGGCACAGAAATGAGCATGAACAGTTTTTAGGCAATGCTCCCCCTTTATTGCTTTATTTAAAATAAAGTTAACTACACTGGAGAGCACTGCTGTAACCGAAAGGGAATTTTTTTCAAGTTTGCATGCGCATACAAGGACACACGAACATACATACAAGATGAATGAATGGCCCCTGGAAAACTATTATGCCTACGCCCCTGCTAGAGAGATTGCTAAAAAATTCGTTCGTGAAAATTTACCTTGACACAAGAGTGTGAAGTAGAAATCAGCAGATATATTCGACAAATTATCGAACATGGAGGGAAAAAAACTTGAGACATGCAGTACGAACTACAACTTGAGTCTCGCGGTGGCAACGGTGGTGGTGGCGGACAACTTCGGCGCGTGCGACCCTTGTTGTGATCTCATAAAAAGTTTCGCTGTAAAAAACAACTGACAAGCTGGTTGTTTCAGCGGAGGCCGTTTCGAAACTGCTAAAAATAGATGATAGCTTGTGAATCGATGACTATCCTCCGACTGGTAATCACGGTAGTCGTGATCATCCTAAACTGCTCAATGTATGAGGTAGCATGATGCAGCCTCATTTGGAGGAAAGGAATCAGGTGTGGAGAAAGAGAGCTCTTGTTCCTTGCCACCGCACTTTGACTCGGTCTATGCCCCTAGCCTGGATGCATTGTTCCCTCCAGCAATATACACTGTTTGGAGTCCATCAACATTGCGTGAAATGTACAGGCAATGCACAAAACACTTTAAACCGACATTTGCGGCAATTTGCGGTGAAGGCTATTTTAGCCATTGTTATACTAGTAATCATTGTCTCCATGAACAAGGAGACAGAATCCTAACATTTAAACATAAAACAGGAGGACGCGATCCTCACAATGCTACTCACCGCGTGTCTACAGATTTTTAGTGTCCTAGACTGCGAAGAGTAAGGGAAAAGTGGTAAATGAGAGTGCCATAGTAATTTGCGACAAGGAATTACGATGTCTCCAACATCATTTAAAGCACGCTTACAGGACGTTTTAAGAAGCCTACAATGGGAAGAGTTACGGGCACGAGTTAACAGAGAGTTACTTACTAACCTGGGCTTTGCAGATGACATTGCATTGATTTGTAACTCATAGGACGAATTACAAGTCATGATTAATGAACAAGTCACGGAAAGGAGAAGATTATGTTTGAAGTTAATATGAATGAAAACAAAGTAATGTGCAACAGTCTTGACAGAGAACAATGCTTTGTGATAGATGGCGAGACACTGGAAGCTGTGAAGAAATATTTGTGTTTATGTCAGAGAGTAACCATGGAGCCGAACCTTATAACAAGAAGAATAAGGATCGGCTGGTGTACTTTAGCCAAGCAGTCTCAAATGATGAAAATCATAAATGGTTACCTACGAATGTCTCTCAAGAGGAAGGAATATAACAGATGCATCTTGCTGGTACTTACCTACAGATAAAAAACCTGGTGGCTTACAAAGAGAGTTCGACTTTATAAAGAATGACGCAGCGAGCGATGGAAAGGAAAGTGATAACTGTTACTTGAGGAGACAGGGAGAGAGCACATCGAGTCAGGGAGCAAACGAGGGCTAAGGATACTATAGTTAAAATGACGAACAAATAGACATTGGTGAGGCATGTAGCATGTAGGCAGAACAACCCCCGGTCATTTAGGGTAAATGACTGGATATAAAAGAAAGCACACGTTCGAGGGAGAGACAAAGTTAGCTGAGGAGATAACATTGAGAAGTTTCAGCGTATATCTTGGCAGCAGCAATCACATGACCTAGTTGATTGGCAGAACATGAGCGATGAGATTGCCCTTCTGTGAGCGTAGTCATACTGATGATGGTGATGATAATGATGATAATAAAATATTACTCATTTTCTACATGTATAGTTTTGTATGTCCACGTTCTCGTAAAACAAATGAAATATGCACGTCATTTGACTTCCGTGCTGTATTATTATTGTGCGGTCAGAAGTTTTAAAAAAGGCTACACAATCAGCGGAACACAATCACAATTGATGTTGTCGTTGATTTGTGAAAGACGGAGTTTTCCTGCTTTGTTTGAAGCTTCCATCACAACTTTCGTTTAGCGGTAGTTAAATAACCGCCAAGAGGAACATCTGCCACCCACTCTTGATTCACTACCTATTTGCACGCGCTGTATTATTTGATGCACAGTATCTATCTCGGACCTAATTAACAAACCTTCTTTTTCACAAGTGCGTTTTTCCATTAATGCGGCAGCTTCAATAATGATATGTCCCTCATCTCAATTAAGTGAAATATTTTCTTACAAACAATTACATCATAAAACATTTTTGTGAATACAGGCCCAGAATCTCAGTCACTAACCTAATCAGCAAGCTCTGATCTAACAGGTCGGCTAGATTGGTAGCTGAAGCATGCCAGCCAGCTTGCGACTTGAATTCTGTTAACATAGTCCCACTGGTTAACTCACGTGCCGCTGTTGTCCCTAGCGATGATGTCGACCCACTCTTTTCCCGTGAGAGCCAGGCGAGTGGCTATGGCTGACCTGATCCAGGTGAGAGGACCACTTTCAGGGAATACAGTGTCCCACAGTGATTGGTTGCTGTTCACAATTGACGTCTCTGTGATAGCCTGCGCATGCCAGAGTTACACCATTTTCACTGGTTTTTCTCTCAAAACTATCTCTCCAATAAAAACAGCAAGGACAATAGCAAACTAAGTGAAGAGTTGCTTCAACTGTCCCCCCCACTCAGCCCTTTAAAAAAGCAAAATTAGGTTAACTAGACCCCAAAACTAAGGCCCATCACAGTATAGTGTGCTTTATACCGTTCGGCAGCAGCTTTTATGAAAAAAACATGGTTGACATCTGTGTCATAGGAATCGGTAAAACACAAAAGTGTAGCTTGTCTTCGAAGAAGTAGCAGTTTATTATACATTAATACGAGCGCTTCTACAATGACTATTGGTGTTTCGCAGCTGCCGCACCATATAACTTGGATGCGCCAAATTTGGCGTACATGGCGTAATTCTATCCCAACGACAAACGTTCAGGATCATAGTAAAATTTTTTGGTGGTGGAAGTAGTTACGGTGCACTTGGAGACAGAGAATACGGTGAGTACCGAGCAGATATGGCATATATAGAAGCACACAGTAAATACCTTTAATCTTTATCCATTTCTTCAAAGCGTCGTCACTTCGTTATAGAGAATGCAAGGTGTGCGCTTCGTAACATATGCATCTGCTCATGCATATACTACCAAACATCGCTTTAGTATTGAGCGTTGAAAGTTGAGCTCGTAGGTAAAGCCACGAATGTGCAAAGGCGTTCGAGTTCCCGCTGGCACCTGTCTTGCCAAGGAGTCAGAGGTATTCGCAACTCCAGAAAATCCTCCGTGTGCTGGCAGCACTGGTCGAAAGAACAAATTTGGTTGCGCCTAATAGCTCAAGGTGGCGCTTTCGCTTAGCGCTGTGCTGAAGTTTCTTGAATGTGGCATCGGACCACGTTGCTTCACCGTAGGCGAAATGGTACTTACCGTGGACTGCCTTATACTCATCGGCATAAAAGAATTCACTGACGAAAGAGCGGAAATACTTGCGCTGTGCGCAGTAACATCTAGCCCCATCGGGAAACCGCACCCGATTTACTTCAAGTTGAAAAACCTGTCTAGCGAGCCGGATGAGGAAGAAGGCAACTGCTCATGTGCAGCAGGCCTTTCCGAAAGGTGTTAGCACATCTGTATCACATTGCTATACACTGCTACAGGCAAGGCTTTATCGATGCTCGAGGTAACGACGCTGCCACTCGTGCTGCCGACTGCATGTATCGCTTTGAGTTCTGCTGTCCCGCCAAAAGCTGAATACACATGCTGTTCACTTGATTACAGAAGTGAGCTATGCCCGGGTCATTGTATTTTGAGATAAGTAAAATCGTAGTTTCTATTGCAATAGGATCCTTTTTTTAATTGGCCAATCTACGTTATTAGGCTTCAATAATAAGGTCGGTGTTTCATAACAGCCGCTTGTTTGTGCTCGCAGACGTTGATATTAAAAGCAGATAAATGAACGTACTTTACGAATGCATGGAGAAGATTTACATAAGCACGAACATACGTGCATATACGACTACTACGCCTGCGCGACGTTCGCAAAGGCGTAGCGTTCGTTGTTAGCGTCTGTATACACATGCGTAATCAGATATGTTCAGAGAGAAGCAATACAGCGACTTTATTTGAGAAGGGGTAGCACTGCGATTTGCACAGAAAAGAAGCGTAAGTGACAAAAAGTCACAGCTTTGCCGCAAAGGCGAAGCAATGAACGCGATAGCAATAATTTCAAAGATCACGCGCGGAGTAGAAAGCAGATTGAAATGTGCCCCGCATTTATCGAGCACAAATTACGCACAAAACGTACTATCAGGTACGGATACACCCGAATAAGCGTCTCATTCGTTACTACGCTGAGTCTGAAAAGTGCGCGCTTTTCAGACTCAGCGAAGTCTGGAAAGCGCGCAGTGACCTGATTGCAGTAACCTTTGTGCGCCCGGTAACTACAGGAGAATTGTTCCACGTAAATCCCGAGGCCAGCCAAGGCGTACGATCCTCCCCTACTCGCCACCGCGAGATGAGGACGCGCGAGGAGCGTAGCTCCACTTTTCTAAGCCGGGCAAACTACGCGTGAGAGATTAGAGGAGGCGCTGCAGCGCGATGTGGCGACGTGCGCTCATTGCGCCATTTTTCTGGTAATGCCGAAAACACAGCAGCGGTAAGTGGTATATATAAATAGCATGCCCTTTGAACAATGAAGGGTGTTCTCCGGGGTGGCTTAGTGGTTAATGCCTCGCTTTCACGACGCAGAGGCCTCACGTGCAATTCCCTGTGCCAAAGTGTTTTTTTTTCTTTCTTGGGGACCTTCGACGCAAAAATTTTGGTCTGTCTCTCTGTCTGTTTTTGTCCACACTTAACGGCATCGGGTACTTGAAATAGCCGACCCCATCTGCATTGCCCACCTATGTTGCTCAAGGTTGAACGTTCATGCTTGCGCAATTGTCAATTAAAAAGCAATTATTGTGTATGTCTGAGGCACCATAACAACACGCATATATTCTGCATGTGCGTCTCTTACTAAAAAAAGCATACATAAGTAATTTCAAGAACCGTAGCGCTTATCACGCTGCGCTGACAATGCAACGCTTGCACGGAAAGGCGAGTGTTTCCAACGCTTTGCTAAAACGAAACGGTGGTGGCACCTACCCGTCGCCTTGTGTTCTACACGTTATCACCTCTGAGATGGGCGCGCACACCAGTCTCAGAGCCACGCGCTTTGTTTTCTAAGACAACTGCCAGATGGCGCTTATTTCTCACGTGTGACGGGACTTGATGCGTTCGTTCGCCTCCGCTGCACGCTCGAGGCAGTCTAACACAGCGCCTCCAGAATACCATTCACCGATTTTCTTGCACAGAACAATAAATAAATGTCTTGTTCACTCCCTCCACACGCAAGACTATCGTTTTTCGACGACATTTGTAGATTACATGCAGATGCGGGGCGAATTTGTCTTCTGGATTTTTTTTTCCGTTTTCACATATATAGATATGTATACATATACGGTGCATGACATCGATGCCGACGCTGGCGGCAAAATCCAGCCAAGAGTGTCCATATGCAACCGTACCTGATAGGTTACCCCCCGTACCAAATTAATACTTACTGGAGATTTCAATCTCGCTATTCACTGGGAAAACTCAACAAGTACTAGAAATACCGCCAATAGCGAGCTATTATACAATTTAATGTTCAATTTTTCATTGTCCCAGTTGGTCAAGGAACCAACCCGAATTCAAGGAAACACCCGCTCCATACTAGACCTAGCTTTTCTTTCCGATAACCTATCCGGTAAATCCACTGTAGAAGATGGAATATCTGACCATAAAATGTTAATCATAACTTTTAACCTTGAATGCCTAAATACCAAACCCGATGGCACAAATTCACGGATAGCCGTGAAAGATTACACCAGAGCTAATGATGTTTGTGTTATTGATTACCTCGACACATCACTAGAGACTTTTTCTCTAAAGGAATGTGAGGGTGTTAATGGTATGTGGATTCAACTGAAAAAAATAATTACGTACTGTGAGCAAAATTTTATCCCAACAAAACTAAAACGCACACAAAGCAAAACACCATGGATCAATCGCCGTATTATTCACCCCAAAAGAAGGGTACAGAGACAGCGCAAGAAAAAGAGGAATCCAATCATCTTAGAGGAACTTGCATCTCAGCTTAAGGCGGAAATTAGAAATGCAAGACAAACTTTTTTTCACATACGTTATCTCACTTCATGACGAATCAGCCGCAAAAATTTTGGCGTTTCTTGGCACGGCCTGAAAACCCTACAACTGAAGTAGAAATTGAGGGTACTATCGTAAAGGACGCGCTGGCCGTTTCCAATGCTTTCAATAGGTATTTTCAGTCGGTATTTACACGTGCATGCGCCCCAAGCAACCCTGTTACTCCGGTGCATCCTTTTTTAATGCCCGATGTCGTTGTCACTACAGAAGGTATTCTGAACCTGCTGTTGCAGATCGATGTTAAGAAATCAGTGGGTCCTGACAATATTTCAAATGTATTCCTTCGACGCTACGCAGAGCAACTATGTACCTTCCTTGAAGCAATTTTTAAAGCATCCCTGCTAACAGCTTCTTTACCTGCAGACTGGTTGTGTGCAAAGGTAATCCCAATTCATAAAGGCGGAAGCAAGCTGTCCATAGAAACATTCAGGCCTATCTCGCTAACTAGCTGCTGCTGTAAATTATTGAAACATGTAATCAACAAGGCAATAATTACTTATTTAGAAGATAACAACTTATTGCACCCAAACCAACACGGATTCCGTAAAAACCTGTCTACCGTTACTCCACTCTTGGAAATAACGCATGACTTCGTAACTACTATTAACTCGCAATTGCAAACCGACTCCATATTTATAGACTTCGCCAACCAAAGCTTTTGATAAGGTGCCTCACAGTAAATTGGTTCACAAACTTGTGTCTATTGGTATTAACAGTAACATAATAGCATGGATAAAAATCTATCTATCAAATTGAAGCCAGTATATAACCGTAAACAACACAGCCTCTGATTCATTGGAAGTTTTTTTTTTTCCGGAATACCACAAGGTTCCGTTTTAGGACCCACCTTGTTGCTAATATATGTTAATGATATTTATATGTGCCTTGAGCTTAACGTTAAAATGAGATTATTCGCTGACGACTGCGTGATCTACACCACTATCCGCACAACTGATGACAAGCTTAGACTTAATACCACACTAGCTAATATTGCATGTTGGTGCCTTGAGTCGGGAATGGAAATTAACGTGTCAAAAACAGCTTGCCTTTGCATAACTCGCAGAAAAACAATCCAGCATTTTAGTTACAGTTTGGTCGGCACAAACATTGCAAGAAACGACGCTGTTAAATACTTGGGCGTTACCTTTACAAGTAAACTGAATTGGGATGCACGTATAAGCAGCACATACAAAAAAGCCTATCGCCAGCTAGGGTTCCTGCGTCGAAAACTTGCATTGGCGCCTTCTAATGTAAAACTGACAGCATAAAAATCTCTCAT